AATTCCAGCGACGCAATAAACTATACGTTAAGACCAGAAAACATAAAATCAAGTCGCGGCACTCCCAGCTAGAAAGAGCAAACAAACGTAAAGAAGCCGGCGAAGAGGTGGTGCAGACCCGAAATAATTGTGTTATGTAACAGGCGAGGAAAAGTCATACATGAGAAGGCTTAAAATAGTCATTGTCAAGGGAGTCCACCCAGCTCAGTGGGGCTTGTCGTTGAAAGAACTTCCGGAGCCAGCGCCGTGAATTTGGGCACATGTGCACGATTTCAACCATATCAGAACGTGATTATGGATCATGAGGGAGGTCAAATATGAAGTGCGTTGCATATGTGCAGCGCAAAGGATTGCAATGCCCTCAAATATGTTGGTTACGTTAACATGCATTCACGAAATGCTTGCGGACGATGTTCTTAACAATGGTTTTTGATGCACGGATATCAGCTCTTCTTGGAAAATATGAAACCATGTCGTTCCACAGCTTAGGGCCAAGGCAAGATGTTGTAAATAGTATATAATTATGATTCCAGAAAGATTGGTCTAAATGTTTTACTCGCCTCATATCCATGCCACTTGAATCGTAGAGCTTGTATATTAAATCGAATGACGCAGGGAGTTGAGAATTTACAAATTTGTGCATCACTATTAACATTTGGGATTTAGCGATATCCGATAGCTTAAAATTTTTGTATCGTTTAAAGATTGGCTCTGAGCTTTGTGGAGGATGCATTTTTCTATAAGACGCGCAGCCTTTTTTTCGCAAAATTACTAACCGATCTGGTTGAAAAGCATGAGTTGTACCCCAAATCAAGCAGCAGTAGTTTCAATAAGGAAGGATAAAAGTGTTATAGAGTAGATGTGACGTTGTTTTGTCAATGAACTACCTAACCCTACTGAGTATTGAGTGGGTGTAAAAAAAAGGCGGAGCATCAACCTTCAGCTCCTTTGTCGGGTGCCTGGCTGTGCACGCCAACGATGCTTTATAAACTGAATGCAAATAAATCATTTCTGTCCGCCTGGCTGGGCTATTGAGATGACAAAGTGCCCCGTGATTTAGCTAAGTAAAACCGATGCCTTTCCGCGCAGTTGCGGCATGAAATTCACCCCCGCCACCAAAAAACAACTACACGTCTAACATTGTTTCATTCCCATATTTTGTGTCGGAAGATAACCCTGAAATGCCATGCAGTCAACAGGTCATACGTGAATCGGTGACATGTCGCTGTCGCAAGACAACGGGACAGTTGACACCGGACCGCGGCCTGCCAGTGGGCCGACCATTCCTGCATGCATCGTGCAACACAGAGTCCAGCGTAGCGAGAGGCACCACGCAGGGTCAGCAGCAGTGACCTCGGTGACCTCTAGCGGTGGCTATGGGTCTCACTGCTTCGCACCGCCTCTTTCTGGCTATAAATGCAGCAATTACACTGTTATGACCCATAAAACTGAGCATATTTTTGAGGCCGCATTTATCATTTGAAAGTTCACGCGAAGCTGATTAACCAGCATGTGGAAATAGAAGAGCAGACAGAAATGGCCACCATCACTGAGGATGGTTGTTGGTCTGGTTGTGAAAAATGTATGCTAATAACTGCGCTAACTATGCATTTAAACAAAACTAAACGATGCATTTTTTCCATGGCAAACTGCGGACGAACAACGCACATCTGTGCGTTGAGGAATTGAAAGGCAAGTCGATACAATATCGCATGATCAATGTACAGCATTGATGGTGATCACCTATGCATTTCAGAACATTTACAGCAGTTCGTGTCACTTTGCCAGGAGTATTACCATGAGACGCCACGCAGTTTTACAATAAACCTTGCTTGGAGCTTGTGAGGGTTTAGGTTTCCAAGCCTCCACACACCAACTCTGACGTCAGTCACTGGGTGCTCAGCCCCGGTCGGTTTGTGACGCGTCACTCGCCGCGCGCCCAGCCCCGGTCGGGTTGTGACGCGTCACCCGCTGCACACTCAGCCCCGGTCGGTTTGTGACGCGTCACCCGCTGCACACTCAGCCCCGGTCGGTTTGTGACGCGTCACTCGCCGCGCGCCCAGCCCCGGTCGGGTTGTGACGCGTCACCCGCTGCACACTCAGCCCCGGTCGGTTTGTGACGCGTCACTCGCCGCGCGCTCAGCCCCGGTCAGGTTGTGACGCGTCACCCGCTGCACACTCAGCCCCGGTCGGGTTGTGACGCGTCACTCGCCGCGCGCTCAGCCCCGGTCGGGTCGTGACGCGTCACTCGCCGCGCGCTCAGCCCCGGTCGGTTTGTGACCCGCCACTCGCTGGGCGCCCAGCCCCGGTCGGTTTGTGACGCGTCACTCGCTGGACGCCCAGCCCCGGTCGGTTCGTGACGCGTCACTCGCTGGACGCTCAGCCCCGGTCGGTTTGTGACGCGTCACCCGCTGCACACTCAGCCCCGGTCGGGTTGTGACGCGTCACCCGCTGCACACTCAGCCCCGGTCGGGTTGTGACGCGTCACCCGCTGCACACTCAGCCCCGGTCGGTTTGTGACGCGTCACCCGCTGCACACTCAGCCCCGGTCGGGTTGTGACGCGTCACTCGCCGCGCGCTCAGCCCCGGTCGGGTCGTGACGCGTCACTCGCCGCGCGCTCAGCCCCGGTCGGTTTGTGACCCGCCACTCGCTGGGCGCCCAGCCCCGGTCGGTTTGTGACGCGTCACTCGCTGGACGCCCAGCCCCGGTCGGTTTGTGACGCGTCACTCGCTGGACGCTCAGCCCCGGTCGGTTTGTGACGCGTCACCCGCTGCACACTCAGCCCCGGTCGGGTTGTGACGCGTCACCCGCTGCACACTCAGCCCCGGTCGGGTCGTGACGCGTCACTCGCCGCGCGCTCAGCCCCGGTCGGTTTGTGACCCGCCACTCGCTGGGCGCCCAGCCCCGGTCGGTTTGTGACGCGTCACTCGCTGGACGCTCAGCCCCGGTCGGTTTGTGACGCGTCACTCGCTGGGCGCCCAGCCCCGGTCGGTTTGTGACGCGCGCGCGACGGCCGCGGGATTACGTGGCTCGGCTGGTGCTCCTCGCGCCTGACCGACCCTGCGGCCCTAGCAATCGCAGCCCGGTTTCAGCGCAGCTCCCCATCACTCGCATCAAACGCTATCTAAACGACGGCTTCACAAGCGTGGAAGATCCAATAACGAGGACGGGCAATGGAAGAGGGGGAGGGGGAGGGCGGACTCCTAGTTTCCGCACCAGCGGTCTGGCGGGCGGATCGCCGATGTTGTCCTAGTCCGCCGATACGGAGCCAAGGCGAGCTAAAGCAGCGGATACCGGGACGTTACAGCCTCGAGCGTAGTCTGTCTGTTGACTTGCTCGAGCTTGAATTGTTGAAGAAGAACGCTCATTCCCCATAGACGGATGGACAATGACATTCGTTCCGGAGATGATGCAGGCGCCCCGCCATCCGAGCCCAGCCTGCACGTGACGGTCGTGCTGATGGACCCAGCTCCTTCGCAACGGAGACTGCCGCACTCTTTTGCCCGCCCTGTGTAGACATCACATCAAACAGCTGATTAGGGCGCTAACGTATCGAACGACTTAACGGGTCTAGGCAATACCTTGTTGAAAATAACATTGTTTCATTGTCCGTTGCTGGGCGGAAAGCGTCGGACTTCCGCTGAATATATCAACATGAGAATATGTCTTCAGCCCTGCTGGCGTTTTGGTTCAGACAATAGGGATCGCTCGATGGCCTTTGCGGCGGATTATTCTGAGCATCAATTCTGATACGTCGCCCGCTAGGCGGGCTCGCGTAAATACACCAGTGTCACCAACGCTCCGTGCCGACGAAAGGACGACTCACCGAGACCTGTTCCGGTCGCCGCGCGACGAGTCTCCTGCTGCGACGGGTCACTTAGTGCGCCAGCAGTCAGGCGCGGTCAGGCCGTCAGGCGTTGGGGCCGTCCGCCAGCAGCCCCTCCCTCCCCGGCGGCGCCCGGTCGATGAGGCCGCACAGCTTCCTCCGGGGAGCCTGGCTCGGCGTCACCGGTCGGCCGCTGAGCGCGTCCGTCCGCCGCGCCCGCGCGCCGCCGGGCCGGCTGTGCGGGCCGGGAACGCCGCCGTCCGTCGCCGAGCAGGCCGGCGGCGGTGCGCCGCCGCCCGCAGCGCGCTGGTCCCGGACATCCGGGGCGCCGCCGCCGCCTAACCTAATTAAGAAGCCCGTACACACCCGGGCATCCAGGGACTCAGCGTGGACACGACGGATATCAGCCACTTTCGGTGCTCGAACTAGTGACCTGTCGCTGTGACGCTACAGCTCGTGCCCAGAAGCCGGCTCACGTCCAGCAGCTCGTGCCAACAGCCGGCTTGCGCCCAGGAGCTCGTGCCCAACAGCCGGCTGCCGGATTGCGCCCAGCAGCTCGTGCCAACATCCGGCTGGCGCCCAGCAGCTCGTGCCCAGCAGCCGGCTCACGTCCAGCAGCTCGTGGCAACAGCCGGATTACGCCCAGCAGCTCGTGCCAACATCCGGCTGGCGCCCAGCAGCTCGTGCCCAGCAGCCGGCTCACGTCCAGCAGCTCGTGCCAACAGCCGGCTTACGCCCAGCAGCTCGTGCCCAACAACCGGCTGGCGCCCAGCAGCCCGTGTCCAGCAGCCGGCTCGTGAGCTGCGCAAGTTGTAACTGTGAGGCTGGGGCCTTGGGACCCGCTACAATAAAATACCTCGTGAGACGAGGGGTGGTGTAGAGCCCTTTTTAACGACTCAAAAAGCACGCAATCAACAAACTTGCGCACAATTAAAAAACAAGTTGTTTCTCAAATTCCGAGTGTCTGTCGTCATGTGTATAGCGCTTGTTGACTTGCCATTTGCGAGTAGTTTGCATTAAAAGCGGAAAACTTTGAAACTACTCGTTGAGTCTGTTTAGGTGACTCGGACACAACCAACTCGACCCGGGCGACTCTTGACCACGCCTTGCCCGAAATCAGGCGAGCTCTACGCATGTGGGCTCCCAACATTGCACATCTTTGAAAAAGCCGTGTGAGGTATTTGCACTGCGTTGCTGTATTCCGTCAATCACGCAGCGCACGTGACATGTGTCTCGGCCGGGATCGGCCCACGTTCGTCAGCTGACGGCTACGGACCGCGACCCCGGCGGACGAACACAGCAGTGGACCAGTGACGTCACGCCAGCATCAGCTGACCCTGGCTGTCAGCAAGGCCAGGTGTTTAGCGAAGGTGTCGCGTTTGAAGCTGGCTCTGGCGACCGCCTCCGACATCGGCTCCGTCTCCGTCACGTCACACAGGTGTCGCCTGCAACAGATCAGACAGAGCGTCACAGGGGCTCCGTCTGGCGGCGCAGATCAGACAGTGCGTCACAGGGGCTTCGTCCGGCGGCGCAAATCGGGCAGACCCGCAGGTGGGCTGTTTCTCACACACGCACCGCCCGCAGCGAGTCCCACAGATCGGCAGTGCGACTCGGGGTCTATCTTGTCAGATAGGCGTCGCCATGTCACAGCGTCTCCGCTTTCGTTACGTTCCGCAATGTGTGATCAGCCGGTCAGGAGTCAGATCAGGCCGCCTGACGCCGGCACAGGGTGTCATCGGCCGATCAGGAGTCGGATCATGCCGCCTGACGCCGGCGCAGGGTGTCATTGGTCGGTCAGGAGTCAGATTAGGCCGCCTGACGCCGGCGCAAGGTCAGACGACTGTCGAGATATACCTCAAAGTATCTGGTTACCGACTCAGTGGGAATGGGTTGGTCGTAAAGACGGAGAGCCAGGCCGCCGCATTGGCGGCGGCGACCGAAGTGCGTGGCGACCGTTTTCGCGGTGGAAAACCGAAACCCATTAATTGTGTTCCACCTTTCCAGATGGTCAACAGCCAACTGGAGCTGGCGCTTCATTACATACGTTCTTGATGCGCTGGTCCATATGGTGAAATCATCTACGAAGAGAGCGCGGACGACCGGCTGCAGTATGACGTCAACGATGTCGTTTATCATGATAGCAAAAAGGGCCACAATGAAAACGCTCCCTTGAGGCACACTATTCACCTGTTGAAAAGGTACTGACATCTCATTACCCACACGCAAACGAAAGAAGCGTTAAGCCAAAAAATTCTCCAAAAAGGTGCCCATATGACCACGTATGCCATGCTTGAAGAGTTTTAAGAGGATACCTCGTCGCCACGTGGTATCGTAAGCGGCTTCAAGATCGAAAAAGACAGCACCTACATGGCGTTTCCCTTTGAAACCTTGCCGGATTGTAGTATCGAGTGTTAAAAGGTGGTCCTCCGTACTACGATTCTTCCTAAAACCGCACTGTGCGTTAGCAAAGATGTCATGCTGTTCTAAGCACCATGTGAGTCGGACATTGACTATTTTCTCCATCAACTTACAGAGTGACGATGTGAGTGCGATGGGTCGATAATGCAGGGGGTCTGAACCTTCCCTGGTTTCAAAAGAGGGACCACAGTAGTCTGTCGCCATAAGACCAGAAAGTCACCGCTAGTCCAAAGTGAATTAAAGATTTCAGCAAAACTTCCAACGTGCTACCAGGAAGGTGCTGAGGCATGCTGTTAAACACACCATCATGACCCTCTGACACGCACCGCAGCATGCTGATATCATGCTTTAATTTGACCATGGTAAAGGGATCATGATAGGACATGTGCCCGGAAGAACAAAAGTCTATGTTTGCTCCTTTGTGTCGTATTCTATGGCAAACAAACTGGCGTTGCGTACTGACACCACGGCTGCGCTCCGAGATTGCTCGGCCAATCTCGTTTGCAGCATCCACTGGATGTATGACGTCGTGGTCATTTACTTGTAGTACGGGGAGTGGGGTAAAGCAGAACTGACCGGAAATTCGATTGATCCGTGACTATACCTGGGCAGTAGGTGTAAGACGGTAAGTGTCCAGACGTTATCACGCCAAGAATTGCGCTTCGCCTCCCTGATCGTTCGACGCGCGAATGCCCTTGCTTTCTTAAACGCGATCAGATTGGCCGTGCTGCTCCTTCGATCGAAAGCTCGAAAAGCGCGTTTGCGCGCACGGATGGCGTCACGACACTCATTCGTCCACCACGGAATGGGCGTGCGGCGTGGATTACATGAAGTGCGAGGGATGCACCCGTCAGCACATTTTAAAAGCAGGACATTGAAACCCTCTGCAGAGGCAGGCACACTCTCAGGATGTGTGGAAGCCGATGCTTCCAGTCGAGCTTCAAAGTTTATCCAATCGGCTTTTTTTAATCCCAACGCTGGGTCCTGGTGCCTGGTACCCCAGCACTACGGAATCTTAACCACACCGGAAAATGGTCACTTCCTAGAAGATCGTCGGCCACTGTCCACTTCAGATGCGGCATGAGCTGCGGGCTAGAAAGGCTGAGGTCAAGGGTTGATGACCGTCCGGAAGGAAGAGTAAAATGCGTCGGCTGTCCGGTGTTTAAAATTCCTAGGGAAGCATCGTGAATAAAGCTTTCGCAAAACCTTCCCTTTCGTGTGTTTGATTCGTTACAGCCCCAGGCGGTGTGATAGGCGTTAAGGTCTCCTAACACTAAGATCGGCGGGGGAAGCTCAGCCATCAGATGCCTGAGCTCCAATGATGGAAAACTGGCGCCAGGTGGCAGGTATGGTGAGCAGACTGTGATGATCGACTGTTGAAATGAACACGTGCTGCTACAACCTGAAGCGATGATTTCAAGTCCAGCCTTCGGGCTGGCACGCTGTGATGAAGGGCCAGGAGGACACCACCGTGCGCAACAGTGTCAGCGGACATGTTACTGCGGAAAACTGCCGAACCTTTTAACGCGAAGTAGGAGTTCGGCACCAGCTTTGTTTCTTGCAGAGCTACAGCTGCGGGACACTTCCGGCCAATCTCAGCCTGGATGTTGAGAGCATTAGCCCTTACTCCCCTGCAGTTCCGCTGTAAAAACGTCTTTAAAAGGACGTCTTAAAAGAGATTAAGGGGTCTCACGCTAAAAAGACGAGATTCAAAAGAATTGCACCGCCCCAGATGAAGTGCCAGATTCCTCAGCAGTGGAACCCTGTTCCACAGATCCGTGCCCCAGCCTGGGCGGGGCCTTGGGCTACCCCCGTCACTTGGAGACAGGGGTCCAGACGGGATACGCTTGGTGCCAGCATATCCCGTGCGTGGTGGTGGCGGAGGAGGGGCCATCACTGAGCCCCTGCCTACAACCTGGTGCCGAGGTGGAGCCTCAACCGGTCTTCGTGGTGAGGGAGTATTGCTCCGGGCGGCGTACTCCTTGCCCGCTCCTGATAGCCTATTGGCTGCTTTGGCCCACTCCTGCTCAGCCAGGCGTGCCCGCTCAGCCTCACGGGCGCGCCTGTCCGCCTCGTGGCGCTCTAGGGTCTCAAGCGCTCATCCAGAAGTGCTCGCAACGGGCGTCACGGGAGACGACGGCGGCTGGATGCTGAATGGTGAGGCCGGCGAACTGCTCTTTCCCCCAGTTCGCATACCACGGTTGGTCTGAGGTGCAGTCGTCTATTGCATGGTCTAATGAGGAACACTTACCACAAACAGCATGGCTGCGACAGGTGGTCTTCGTATGCCCAAACCGCTGACAACCGAAACATCCCATAGGGTTGGGAATAAAACGACGCACTTTCACCTTCACATAGCCCACTGTGATGTCTTGCGGTAGGTCGGTTCTATCAAAGGCAAGGACGATGTTGTTGGTGGTAATCAGGTCAACACCACGCCGCACCTTGATCCGGCAGGCGTCAGTAACCACAAACTCGGCCCATCCTTCTATAATCTCCTCTTCATTCACACCCTTTAGATCAAAACAGTTGATGATGCCCTTGGTAGACTTTTTTGTCCGATGTATCTCTACAGTCAGGGCGAGAGACACGTCTCGTTTACTCTTTGCGTCTCACACGCTGTACACGAATCGCGTAGCATCCATTGCTCGCTTAGCATCCTCTCCGTTGCTAAATTCCACCTCAATGCTGTCACCTCGTAGTTAATCATATCGCAACAGTGTCAAAACGGTCGCATCCATTCCAACGCTGAAATGGAGAAAGGGCTCTTTCATCACTGCGAAAAACTAAGATCCGAGGAGCAGGGGCAGATCCACTGCAGCCGGACACTACGACGGTCCGTCCCCCTTTCGGGGACCGGGTGCTTTTTGTAGTTGGAGATGCCATGCAAGGTACGTTCAGCTTTCGGCACCGGGGCTCCCCACCCACCACGGAGCCCAAGTAGGGGACGGTCCAACGCTCCCTCGGGAGGTGGTCGCCGCCAGGGCTATCGCGGTGCTATACGGGGCGAACGACGCCTCCCACACGGCCGGGTGTAACCTGGGAGACCCCTCCCCGTCCTGGCCGTGGTTCAGCGCCGCCGCCCCTTGACCCCTTAAGCCGCTGCGCACGGCCAGGCGCCCCAAGCGGAGTCCCGCACGGAACACCCAGCCGCAGCGCGAGCGACAAGCCGCTAGACCCGTGTGGGGCCCCACGGGTCCCCACGCCCCCGGATACCCTGGTCAAAGTCGAGTGTTGGGAAGCGCCGTGACTAACCCGCACGACGCGCCCCTCAGCCACCAGGATCCGATCAACCCGGGGATGCGGGCGAGGAGGCACGGCGAACCCGATAAAACGAGGATGAGGAGTAATCCTGGGACCGGATGCGGGAAAGCGGGCAATGCGAAAGGAGCGGGCGGGACAAGGAGCAGGAGCTCACGTGCCGGCAGGGTCGCTACGCCCTGAGAGGAACAGCTTGCGCTGTCCACCCGTTACCGGAGCTGGGACCCGAGAGGGCGCTAGTCCCCCACATCGACCGAAGGCGGTGCCCCTGCGGGGATAACACATGACTTCCGCACCATCTCCCGCGCTGTCCGACCAACGTGTGTTGTAATGCTTCACGCCATAGCTTGACTTCCGGTTCAGGCACGAGCAGCACGAGCAAGGGTGTCAAGCCGCTGCATCAACAGATCATGGTACAGCTACACAAATGGTCCTCCCTTAAGGCACTCTTTGTAACGAGAGGAGAAAGAGAAGGATCGCGGAAATTGGGAAAGGACGTGGGTGAGATCTCAGGAAGGTGGGAAGGGGCGGGAGGGCAGGATGCGGGACGGGATAAAGACGCTCCAGCTCTTTGCTCACACGTTATCACATAATGCCCATTCTAACTACTGCTGAGGCGCAGCGTCTGTGGGACAGACTAGTTGGTCATCTCCCAACAGCTGACTGGAGCCAGGGTGAGTCATTACGCCACATAGTACAGTCTGTGTTCCAGTGTCCCAGCACATATAGTTTACTGCGGTGACCGCCGAAAAGGAGAGGCCGGGGAGGGAGAGAGGACGGCACACGCCCTTCCATCCCGTGCTGATCTCACGCAATATCTGACTCTGACCCCATGGTGTTGCACGGAAAGAAGCGAGGCAATCAATGCGTATGCCCCTCGCCCTCCCCCGGGTATTAGAGGGCGTAACGCTAATGATTCTAAGTCGCCAGCAATCCAGAGCCGCCAATTTCTTCCCATCAAACGGTCCATCGTTTGCCGACGCAGGAATAGCTGACGGCCCACTTTGTTGGCCGTTGGCACAATACACGCCATGGGCAAATATGGGGAAATTAATGAAGCGCACGGTTTCGACAGGGTAATTGAGTCTACGTATGTTTAGGGTTAAGACCGAAAACGACCACTTGGACGTCAAGTCGAAACAGGGAGGATCTCTAGCCACGCAATGTGTTCTCCTGAAAAAGCTGGCTTTCATTATGCCACCAGGTACTGATTCAACCAAGACATCAAGCAACAAATGTGATATGTTATTAGCATGCTGCAGGTTTCCACCCATATTCATGGTCACGAGTGATGAGTGCCCATTTTTTCAGCATGAGAACTCATAATGTCGAGTAGCCAGGGACATAAGGTCACTTCCATGTATCAAACATCGCTGCTTGTCTATAAAAGCATAGTGACATGGAAGCATATCTGACGTCAAAAGCCCTCTGAATCTGATCACTGACGAGTTTGCATGCCTTTCCAGGCTTCTCTCACGGACTGTTTGCTCGGATGACCGTCACACGATGAGCGCTGTCCTTTCCACGCGCAATGGATGGCGGACGCGGCACAATGACAGCGGAGACGGTAAGTGAGCACACGAGACTCATGCAACTGAGGCGAGACCTGGCCAGACGGGAGGTCAGACGGGAGACCAGACGGAGGGCCAGACGGAAGGTCAAACGGAAGGTCGGACGAAAGGCCGGACGGAGGGCCGCGTGGAGGGTCAGGCGGAGGGTCAGCGCCAGCAGGCGGCCGAGCAAGGGACCGGCGCGGGACGGCGTCCCGCAGAGGCGGCGCCAAACACTCAGCAGCGCACTGCCCCGAACGCCGTCACCACTGAGCAGCATCAGGCAGCCAACCTACCAAACACGCCAGTGGACGCACCAAACACGCCAGCCAACCTACCAAACACCTCGGCCAACCTACAAAACACACCAGCAAATCTACCAAACACGCCAGACAACCTACCAAACACGCCAGCCAGCCTACCAAACGCGCCAGCCACATTTTCGGAACAGCAGGCACACTTGGGAAACTTGTGCGTGGTTGGCAGTGAGAGCCTCCATCACATGGTGTACGCCAGTGAACCAAGGTCAACTTTTGCTATGGACATAGCTTGATAAGAGAACAGCTGAGACAAATGTCCCCGTAATAACGGCAGGATCGAGCTCTAGGTGACTTACAGTCCGCCCTCGGGACTATGTCCTCCTAATGATATGGAATACATCGTAACAGCGCCATCGTGCTATCGTTACTACGTGCAACCTAAACTAGATGTAGCGTGAAATATGCACCCTAGATCAAATATCACGCAATGCGGTGCAAAACGCATTAAAATAGCCGGAGGAGGGAGCTTTTTGATTGTCTTCAGGCCGACGTATTATGACTCTGCCGTTTACCACAATGTTTATCTTAAATTCGGACACTGGATCACCTACATCCCTGCATCTTTTTGGCCTATTCTACCACGCAACACCAGATGACTGCTGTCACAGCGCCTGCCGCTCGGCGCCGGTGACACCAGCTCGGCGGCCAAACCGGCGCGCCGCCGGCCCCCGGCCCATCGGAGCCGGGTGGCACGCGCCACGCGCGCCACCGGGGCTCTGCAAAATTGACCTGTCGCGGCTGGCAGATCAAGCGAGCGGGCGGTCGCGCGCATCCGCGAGCTGTGACGGCGGTAGCGGCGCCACCGACGTGATCCCCGGCCGGCGCTCAGTCGCCCCGCACACATCTGGCTGGCTGTGTCGATAACGCAAGGAGCTGAAGCCGCCAAGCATGACACACGGACTCGTGCTCACAACGGCTATATCAGCAGACTTAGCGCGTGGTGCGAGCACGAGTGCCCCTACTCTTTTATGCAATTGCCGTTGAACGGGTGCTGGCCCACGAATGGCATGGAGCACGACGAATCCTGACACCATTTGACCTCATCGACAGGCGTGCTTCGTGCGTATGCGCGGTCGGCAACAGGGCTATCAGTCTCGAGCGCTGGCCAACAGCGCTAACGCACGGGTTAGGATGAGTCGACGACGGGGAGAGAAGAAACGCCAAACTTGGTCCACTTCTGCTGACAACTACTATGAGGACGCAAAACCTCCCGTGACGAGCGCGCGCTGGAGGAATCGAGGAGCATGTGCTAATGCTCGGTATCCCTGCGTCATCCATGGTCATGTTTGACATTTGGACAGCGTCGACGGCGGCTATCTCTGTTCATTTACCCATGTCCCCTACAAGGCATATGGCATATGCATACGATTATTCTTACCAATTATGGCCAGTCATGATATTTGGCTAACAATTGTACGATCAGCGCTCTCCCAACTAGCGGAACATCACATCGTGCAGACAAGACAACTGTAGGGCTATACGTTCATTTTTCTACAAGATGCACCAGTCACTGCTAAGTCGGACCCGTCACTGCTGAGCAGGTCCCGTCACTGCTAAGTCGGACCCGTCACTGTTGAGCCGGTCCCGTCACTGTTGAGCCGGGCCCGTCACTGCTGAGCCGGGTCCGTCACTGCTGAGCAGGCCTCGTCACTGCTAAGTCGGACCCGTCACTGTTGAGCCGGGCCCGTCACCACTCACCGGTCAGATACGCCGGCAGTGGCCCACAGCTCTGTGGGGCCACAGCCGAGCTGAGCCGAGCCGAGCAGGGTCAACGCTGAGCCGTTCTGCGCCTCTAATGGGACACTGGATCGGCCTCTACCAAGCGTCACTGCCGCCAACCCCGCACGTGCGGTCCGCTGCCACGGCAGACTTCATCTCGGGTGTCATTGGGGCCTCGCAGCACGCTCAGCTACTGAGGCTTCATGATTCTCTCTCCTCTCTCTCTCTCTCTCTCTCTCTCTCTATCTGCCTCTGCCTCTCTGCCTCTGCCTCTGCCTCTGCCTCTGCCTGCCTCTCCTCTGCCTCTGCATCTGCTCTGCCTCTGCCTCTGCCTCTGCCTCTGCCCTGCCCTGCCTCTGCCTCTGCCTCTGCCTCTGTCTCTGTCTCTGCTCTGCCTCTGTCCTCTGTCTCTGTCTCTGTCTCTGTCTCTCTGTCCTGTCTCTGTCTCTGTCTCTGTCTCTGTCTCTGTCTCTGTCTCTGTCTCCTGTCTCTGTCTCTGTCTCTGTCCTGTCTCTGTCTCTGTCTCTGTCTCTGTCTCTGTCTCTGTCTCTGTC